GTGGATATTGTGTGGAATGTTTTTGTCTGTTGTACCCACTGCATGTTGTTGACTACTAAAATGGTGTGTACTTTTGTGCAATGTCGGCTTTCATGATTGACTGTTTGTGCCAACAGTAAGCTGCATTTCTGCTGTGGGACTGTCAGTGTTGGCACATCTGACAGGTGCCTTATGTATTTTTACTTTGTGTGTGCCAGTTTCCCGTTTGTGCTGGGTCTGACAAGTGTTTCATTAGTATTGAAATGGAACAGCGATGGACATTTTGTCATTTCCACTGGTACAGGAATGCAGCAGTTATGGGTCATCCCATCTGCAGCGATGTCGGATCAACGACTAACAACAAGGTAGTCTGCCACTGTTTTCTTTCTTGCCAGTGACCATACAGGCCACCAGAACACAGCTGTTGCCACTACAGTGTGATCCTCTGACCATTAAGGAACCTGAGACCATGCCCAACAACGATCTGCTTTTGTGATTTCAAATACCCTGATAAGATCTGTGCCATTCTGTGGCTTAAAGGTTAGCGAATGTGGTTAACAATTTCATGATCCTCAAGTACTGTGGTTCCTTCCCCTGTGGTTCTGTTCTCCTGGTTTTCATACAATGGTACGAGAGTCGCACTTTAGAAGAGATTGGGGCCTCACCAGGTAATATTCCTAAAGATAGCAGTGGTGTAACCAACCTTCATTGTGGAGATGGCACAGAACTTTTGATAAGGAAGGGGGTGGGGGCGATAAAGAAAGAAATAAAAGCATGTGTATATAAAGAGAAGGCTAAGAGACTGAAAAGGCTGGGGCGTATATTTTATGAGAATTGGCAGGCAAAAACTATGTACACAAGGAAAATGAGTGGCCACAGACCAAGAAGATGCTGGAAAGATAATATCCAAGCAGACCTGCAAACACGTGGTTGGAGTCACCACCTGGAAAGAGAGAGCCTTTCACAAGGATGAATGGAGGCAGGTGATATCTGCAGCAATGAACTGCCTGGGCTCAGAATTCTGAAGAAGTGTGTGTGTGTGGTGAGAGAGGCAGCCATATCACAGCTAACGATTCTAAAACCTTGTACTAGTCAGAGAAGGCAATTGCATCTCTAGATATACAATGTGTTCCTTATTTGACCAATGTGTATTTTAAATAAATACAGCATGAAACATCATTCTGGCTATGTAGTAATGACTTTTTTCAAGGTAAAATTCTGGGATGGGAATTAGATCAAAGGTAGACTAAATGACTATGAAACACATAAAAAATGGGTAGTCTGTGATTTTTTAATGGCTGTCAATGCAAATTATAGGTACAGTGTAAACTTTATAATGCTATGACTTATTTTATCTTTACATCACTCCAGACACATCCATAGGTGCTCAGACCGCACCCTTCAACAGTGATGTGGACACATGCTGCTCCCAGATTCCTCTGATTGTCCTTTCTCTATATAATCATTAACAATGTCATCATGATCCACAGGCCAGCCCTCTGCAACTAAGGCAGAACCGCCCAATCTATCCGCTCTTTTATTGCCTGCAACATGTGCAATACCCTATTGATGTAGTCAAACAGACGTCTATTTAATATTAAGTAAAGTAAAACAGGACCCTTATTCGTCTCATTGATGCACTGGACGTATGGTGCCAAAAATACAGCTTGTATGGACAAATCAACACTCGATGATGGGTGATGCAGTCAACATGCCAGCCACCTTTGCTTCCTGACTTTTCTTTTTTATAATACATTTTTTAAGGTGGAATCAACTTGGTAACCTGGGTCGGCTAAAAAAAAATTATCTCCCTCATTGTGGATTTGAACCCTACACCTTTTCGCCAACAGGCAAGCATGTAAACACTGTGCCACTGTGGCTTTCTGCGATAATAATAGAGTATTGAAACATAGGAATAAAATTTTATAATTATTTGAAAAAATGTAAGATGAGAAAGAAATGAAATATAAACAAGTTCACAACAAATATAACAAATGACAACATAATTTGTAAACCATAAGGGACCTCACAGAAGTGAAACAACACAAATGAAACAGCAAGGAATGGTGTGATATGGGGGGGGGGGGGGGGAGGGACCCACAAAATAACGAAAATTATATCTGGTTCATTTTTTTTTAAACTGAAAACCATAACTATTTTTTTTAAAGATCTTCTTCTGTGCTACTTTGTTGAGGTCTGATACCATTGTAAATGAAATAGTCACATCCTGGATGCCAGTCCAACATACTGAATCCCAGAAACCCTGTTCAACCTCCGTAGAAGTTATAACTGGGGATCCCATAATGGCTACAGCAAATGCTATCCTGTAGTTCTAGGTCACGTGAAAGCCATCACTGGAACCCCAGAATGAGATGTCTCATAAATATTGACTGAAATGACATGACAGTTGCTGTCAGAAAGTAAAAGTAAATAAAGAAACCTTTTCCACATCTTTAAAGGTTTTGGGCTTATAGGGCTAGATAAATATTTTATAGACCAGTCGGCCCTCCGTGCGTGATGTTGTCAACATCAAGCCGGCCGCCTTTAGTTCCCAGGACTTTACCTGGTACCCATCCAAGGCTGGGTCGTCCTGGAAGCCAAGGTCATCTTTGAAAAAAGTCTGGCTCCATCAGGACCTGAACCCATTATCTTCGAATCAGCAGGCAAGTGTCTAGCTACCACACCACGGCAGCTCTCGGCTGTCACAAAAGCAAAATTTAAATAATGTACAAATGTATTCATGTAAAAAGTGCCAGACCACAAATGTGTTATTCATACTAAAAAGCTAAACAACAAATGCAGAATAGGGAGGCAGAAGAATTAGAAGTCTGCCAGAGTTAAAGAAGAAATATGCAATGTCAATTTGCCCAGCTAGATGCAATAAATCAAGAAATGCAAAAATAATGATCTCATTCACAAAGCTTTCTGCAAGCAAAACCTCACCTGCAAACCTTTTCACCATCGGCCCTTTATCCTTCCTTGGGGCACAGGTACTCAACCAACACAGGCCAAGTCATTTTATCCTTTGCTACTGCACGCAGCTCACCCCAGACCCTCTCCATAATTTTAACCTCACTCTCTAGTTCCCTTCTCCATGTGTGTTCTGGTCTGCCTTAATTTATATGACCATGTGGGTTCCAGTGAAAAGACATTCTATTTACAGTAAAACCTAGTTAACACAAACTCACTTAAGATTAACAGTATGTTAACATAAACAAAATTATTGTCCCAGCACGGATGTATTATTTGTAATACATCTATTAGTTTTCGGTTAGCACAATTTTTTTGTACAACTCTTTTAGGGTGACATTTTTTGCCTTGGGTTTGGACAATAATTACTGAGCTGAAATTTTTTAACATGACAAGGCTAAAACTTTACTGAAGAAAAGTATTGGCTGTATGGTAACATATATCAAATTAATGAGAAATCAACACAGAATACTTCTGGACAATCACTAAAAATGTGATCGTAAGTTTCTGAAGTCTTGTCAAGGTTGTCAATACAGGTTTCATGGGGGTCCTGGGAAGCTGACCCGGTCAGCAAGTGCTTGATGAAGCTGGATGTGTCGGCTGAAAAGGTGCAAATATTGTAGCTTTGCTGTAAACAGGCACAAAGCAATTATGTCACTCGAATAAATCAAAAGAAGAAACAGAAGATCTCATGGTGTTGAGCTATTTTAATAACGAGAGAGAGAGAGAGAGAGAGAGAGAGAGAGAGAGAGAGAGAGAGAGAGAGAGAGAGAGAGAGAGAGAGAGAGAGAGAGAGAGAGAGAGAGAGAGAGAGCCTGTATGTGTGCTTCATATATGAGGGTCCATAAATGGACTGTAAGAATAGGGGTATTTTAATCACTTTAGTGAGTGTCCTAACAGGCAGACCAGTTATGGCTTCGATGCTTTAGAAGCTGAAGTGGCAATATTAACCCTCTTGCCACAGGAATGCTAAAAACAAAATGGGTTTTCAATCTAAAGGAATTCCCCAAAAATCATTAAAACTAAATTTCTTTTCACAGGTCACTAATTTGTAAAAAAAAAAAAAAAAAAATTATCGACATTTCTATATATGTAAAGGAAGTAATCAATAACATGAACAGGGCGAAACATTACGAGCCTTAAAAAAAAACATATGTATTGGGTGAGTCATCTTGTGACATTATCACTGAGAAAAAACACCCTGTATTTGTAAGTACACACAAGAGAACAACTAAAATATACCTTTCAGTCTGACAACAATAAAATAGTTATGATTCCAAGCAATGTCAAAAAAAAAAAAAAAAAAAAAAAAAAATTTTATGCACAATTTCTAATCATACTAGCCTCCCAGTGTGGGTTTCCGCACCTATTTTGGGGGTTTAGAAAAAAAGAAAACAGAACTACTCCTCTCCCCCCGCCCCCCCCCCCCCCCCCCCCCACCCCCCCCCCCCCCCCCCCCCCCCCCCCCCCACCCCTCCCCCCCCCCCCCCCCCCCCCCCCCCCCCCCCCCCCCCCGCCCCCCCCCCCTCCCCAAAAAAAACCCACAAGCATGTCATAAAAGGCATCTGCATGAGAGATGAGCAAATGAATTTGCAAAAAATTCAAGTTCTGGAACAAAACCAGAGCCCAGAAGTAGATGAACAACCAGAATTTTCCACTGGAGTTTTCAGCCGGGGGAATGCTAATAATAATAAAAAGAAATCAACCATTTTCACCAGAACTTTGTTTACCCTTACAATGGCGAAAAAAAAGTCGAATAAACAGGTTGCTCAGGTTTGTTAGCCCTGAAGCATACAAAGTTCTTGATTACATACATATTTCCCATTTCAACATGCTACTCAAATGGTCGTTAGCGTTTTTACCATTTCAAGTTCTTGGTCATGTACACATTTCAACAGATTACTAAAGTTTGTTACCCCTGGACTACCATAAATTCAATTCAACCAAGAGCTGTTAATTTACAGAGGTGCACTTGTTATGAAGTCCACATAAATGCCGAAAGACACGGGTAAATGGAGTATGTCTCCCTACCAATATTCTACAATCCGTCATCATTTCTTGAATTTCTTGACAGTCTGTGAGTTGGAAAAAAAAAGTTGCTCCATTATTTATTATACGATCATAAAATCAAGATATGCACACATATTATGATCACCAAGATGATTTACATGATCATCAAGAGAATTTATTTCACCATCAAAATAATTTACATGATCATCAAGAGAATTTATTTCACCATCAAAATAATTTATATGATCATCAAGACAAAAACAAAAAAAATTGCTTTCTGAAAGGTTGTTTGGCCTGTTTTTCTGCATGCTTTCTAGCCACAATAGTCGTTTGTTGCTCGCGATCATGATACTGTGAAGATAACTAGTTTGATTTCTCATTTGGTTGGATATCTTCTCATGGTATCTTTACAGTTTTACTGCAGTTCACTAATTTCACCTATCACCATTTAAAACTGCTACTATCTGTGTGTGCCCATCAAAAACTCTCTGTACTGTGTGTTCTCATACCATTTATGGGTATTTGTAATGGAGGATATTTTCACCCTGATTAGGAAGGTTGGGGGGAAAGCCCAAGGTTAACAAGAATACTGAGAGAAGCCAGATGCTCGGATTAACCGAGGTTTTCAAGATAGGGGACGACCACAGGTTATCACGTGGAACCCAAGGAGAATGACCACAGGTCGCCACGTGGAACCCAAGAACAACCACGTGTTGCCACGTGGAACGAACACTGGGTATAAGTTCAGACCCCAGTCTGAGGAGTTAGTATGTGTTGACCGTCAGAACGAAAGGACGTGAGAGTGTTTGTGAGAATGAGAACGTGAAACTGATTGCGAGAGGAAGACCAGACGACAACATTCATCGAAGTCAAGTCCAGCCAAGCTGTGAAGCTTGATGCGATGACCAGATCCATCTATGCGGCGATGTGGAACTGAAGGCACCGAACTCTGGTCGATGAATGTGTGAGAAGTTGGCATCTGAACAATGTGGTGCGTGTAAGCTGTGAATTAGGACATGGATAGGACAATATATGTAAGTGATGAGATGTCAATAAACTGTATCGTACTTTTGAGTCGGTGTCAGCTTGTCCCAGTTATGTCATCTTAAGAATGTGTGCTAAGATCATCCACTAGACACATCATCTCCTAGACAACTAGCCCAAGGTCAGAACACGACTTATTGCAAGCACAGCTTATTACAAGGGATTTATTGCAGTATTCTTGTTTGTTGCTGTATCCATGTTTGTTATATGACCGACTGCCTATCCAACAAGCATGTCATAGATGTAGACTAAGTCGGGGCATCCTTTAAAGTCAGAGTAAGTTATGCAAGAGTCTGCATAATATAAGCCAGATCTGTGAAAGGGATATGCACCCTACACTCAGGTCATGGAATAAGACTACAGTCCGGAGGTGGGCGACACCCAGTTCACTAATTTCACCTCTCACCATACCAGAACTGCTACTATCTGTGTGTGCCGTGCCCATCAAACTCTCTGTAGTGTGTTCTCCAAATACTGATTATGTGAAAGCTGGATACCAAGTTTTTAAAAATGGTGACGAACAAGGAGACTGTGTGGGCTGCGGTTATAATGATGTAATCACTTTCAGCTTCATCAAAATATCCTATGAGGGACTGGAGAACCCCGACAGTCAAATATTCTTTTGTGATAGGTTTTTCTAATTTTGCCAACACAGCAGAACCATTATCACAAAATCTTTATGTTCTGCAACTATCAGTAGATTTTCAGTGTGCACAAAAAGCACAGTATGTTCTACTCTGTCATTATATGAGACTAGGCATCTAATCCACTACCCGGATAACAGGGGTGGAGGGGGGGGAGGGGGTCATATGACATCAGATTCCTCTGAAAAACAATTATCCAGAGAAAAATTCAGCAATCTCTTAGTAGTGTTGTGCCAAACTACTATCACAAAAACGCCCTACCTGCCAACATTGGTGTATTACTATTCTACTACCTTACTATTCTTCTACACAATAATGACTGAAAACCAAAGTCCTAGTAAGGATTCAAAGGGCCCATTATGGGCAGGAAAAAAAGAATATAACTGCCCCTCAACAAGCAAGTTAAGATGAGTCAAGAATTGACATCACAGCACTCGGGGCATTCCCATGCATGCTCCGTCCTCATCTTCAGGTGCCAGCGCAGAGTTCCAATACTGATGGTACCGGTCACAATCTGGTTATACGTCTTTCTTGCCTTTCCTCTGAGTGTAGTGAGCCGGCCAGACCCTCAGGTTACACATAGATGCCTCATTCTCTTCAGGCCATAATAATCTTCTATCTCTACTAATTCCATTGCTTGTTCTCAAAAGGCCTTGACCACGTCTGCCTTGTCATGTATCAATTCACCACCCAATTGTGCAGAACTAGTCAATCTGTCTGCTTGTTCATTACCCACCCGCCGGCATAGCTTGGAGAAAAGGCATGTTGTCAAAGAAGACTAATTCCCTCTTTAAGTACCAAACAACACACTACGTGAAACGTGTGACTGTATATTACAGTCAATCTGAAAACATTTTATGCATGTTTTTGTATCTCAAGTTTAATCAGGGCAACATATCTGTCTCCTAAGCTGCGCCGTACACTTAGTGCCTGTGGATGTAGTAAACCAATAATTTTGTTGTCTTTACGGTTGCCATCTACTTTGATCTACCTGGACTGAAAATGTAATGTGTTGGTACTAAAAAAGCGTAAATATATACAGCCTAATAGTAAACCATAACACAATGTGTCAACTGTCATTCTTGTTCCTCAATGCATTCACCGGCTGTAAACTCCGACAGAAAGTTCTGGATGTTCATCCACCTCCGGACTGTAGTCTTGTTCCAGAACCTGAGTTTTGTGTGCACATCTGTTTCACAGATCTGGGTTATTTTTAATGCAGACTCTTAATTTTTGGGCCACTCAGGCAGATGCAGTCTGACTTTCGAAGGATGCCCCACTAAGCCCACTCTGACGACATGCTTGTTGGGAAGGCAGTGGGATCTATTCTTGTTTTCCCCCACAATGGGGCCCCAGAACCCACATGGGGAAATGCCCTTTCAAAAGTGAATTTGAATTTAGAAAAAAACATTTTCTTCTTTCGTATCTCACTGATACCAGGTTGTAGACCAGTGTCAAGGTTTTCTGTAATTGTCTTGTGCTTGTCGAGTGGGTTGGCATCTTTTTGAAGGTTTCAGCTACACTATTTATCCATCTCTTTCTTGGTCTTCCTCTTGTCTTCCTCCCAGATGTTCTGCTGTAAAAGGTATCATATGCAGTTTGGTCTGGCCGCATTCTCACTAGATGGCTGAACCATTTCATTCTTTGTCTGTCAATATAATCCAGTTATGGTCTTATTACAACTTTCTCTCTAATGCTGGTATTTGTAACCCTGTCTCTTTTTGTGTTGTTAGTGACCTTGCGGAGACAGCACATTTCACATGTGGTTATTTTCTGTTCTAGTGCCTTATTCATTGTCCATATCTGGCACGGATAACATAAGTAGGGATAAAGATGCTATTAATCATTTGCTGTTTTGCTGGAAGGGAGACATTTGGGTGTCTAAGCAGTGGGGCTAACAGCATTTGCCTTCTGTAGTCTGGATTCTATCTCTCTATCGAGTCCTCCATCCTCGGTAAATATGCTTCAGAGATATTTGAATACCCATACTTGTTTGATTGTCGCACCGTTAACATGAACATTCAAGATATTATTTTTCCTAGCTATCCTCATTAACTCAGTTTTTGCAGTGTTTATTCTTATACTTTGTGCAAGCTTGATGTAAGGTGTTGATCTAGTGTAAATTCTGTTCTTGGTGGTGTATTAGACATTGATCGTCTGCAAAAAGTTCATTGATTTGTTTCAGTCTGTATTTGCCTCCTATGTAAATCCATGTACTAGAGTGTAAGAGTGTGCATCGGTGCTTGACACTGCAGCCAGCAGTGGTTAGGTTGGCTAGCTTCTTTTCGGAGAATTGAAAAGTGAAATCAGAATAACTCAAATAATATAATTAGATTTTTTGTTTTGTCCCTTCTATGACCTCCTCCAGCACACCAGACCAACAGTAATGAAAACTACCTTGTTACACACCTTTGAAGTGGAGGAGGATTTCAGTGTTAGCTGCTGCTTAAGTTCATCAATCTCGTCCTTCTGCTGGGCCAACTTCTCATTCATTCCCGCTAAGTGCTCACTCATCATACTCAGCTGTCCCTCATAACTGCGAGTTGTTGTCTGAAGTTCGTCCTGACAACAAAGAAACACACATGCGCAACAATGAGATCTCTAATGACATTTTTCTTGTTACTGAACTGGCATAAAATAATCTCAGATACCGATAAAATTCCATTTCATACACTTCATGTAAGGTCGTTACATACACTGTCGTGTCAGACCATGCAATGTCATATAAGATCACTTCATACACTATCATGTTGGAAACAAATTAATGAAACACTGAACAGTTACAACATCATCATGTGCCACACCAGTAAGCCTAGGCTATCATGTTTCGCAATCTCACATGATCACCAGAATCGCAGATCAGTTCAATGTATTTGTCTCGCCCTATCCACTGGCCAGGTATTTATCTGTTTGCCTTCCTCTTTCTCCATCTTGCCAGATGTTGCCAAGTTCTCAGATCCATTCCTTCTCATATGTCCAAAACATATTGACTGTCTATATCTATTAGGTTCATGACTTTCATCTGTCTCCATGAGGACTGTTAGGTTTGTTTTTCTATCCTTCCATGATGTTCTCTGCATTCTCCTCAGAAACCACATTACTGTCGCAAGTAAATATTTTTCAGCTTGCCTGTTTATTGTCCATGATTCACATACATAAAAGAACATGTGGTCTACATAACACTTTAACACTCTTTTTCTCACTGCAAATGACATCTTCTTATTGGTAAGAATCTTTTCCATCTTGCTAAACGCCACCCTTGCCAGGCAATTCTTGCTCTAATTTCTGCTAGGTATCTTGCATCCGATGTTATGACTGTTCCTAAATAGTTGTATCTGAAATTGCTTAAGAATGTTGCTGTGTGTGTGTATTTTCACACTTTGTATTTCTTTCTTCTTGGTAAGGACCATAATTTCAGTTTCCTTACAGGCCTCTAAGCCTAGTTTCTCACTGTGAACTATAAAACTAAACACTGCAAATCTTCTTCCCTGTCTGTAATTAACACTGTCATCTGCATATCTTTTATTGTTGACGTTATATCCTAGAGTTGTATAAAGGACCCTTTTCCACGCCTTCAGATGTACTGGGCACATAGGGCTAGTCCTATATTTTATAGACCAATCAACACGCGGTGGATGATATGGTCAACATCCCGGTGGTCGCCTTTACTTCCCAGGACTTTACCTGGTACCCACTAAAAAGCTGAGCCGACCTGGTAGCCAAGGCTAATTGTGAAAAAGGTCTGTCTCCATCAGGACCTGAACCCACGACTTTCTGATCCGCAGGTGGGCATCTAGCCACTACACCACAGTGGCTATCCTACAACTGTATACCAACCTTTAAATGAGCCAAACTCTGGTTTGCCAGCTTCAACTCATCTTGCACAATCTCCTTCGATTTCTCGGCTATCTTCAGTTGTTTGTGCAGGGCTCGAACCTGCAAGGGGTTAAGACAAAAATCAAAATACTGATGGAACAGTAGTTAGGGCATTATCTTACCAAATCAGTAGTATAGATTCTATCCTCAGTTGTGGTAGAATTATTTGTTATTTGCTGAGGAGTAACCACAGTCTGGTGAGACTGATGCAGGGGTGAGTGAGGAGAGGTTCTGGCAGATGCTCGGGGTTCAGAGGAAAGGTAAGACGGACATTTAATCAGAATGCTACTGGCACCAATAGTATCGGTACTCTTCACTGGCCGCTGAGGATGGGGACGGAGCACTTATGGGAATGCTCCGAGTGCTGTGATGTCGGTTCTTGAATCAACTCAACTCAACTTTGGTGAGGAGCGGACAACTTCCTGATACACATTTTATGCTCGCTTGACCTGGCAGTCCATGCTTTTTAAACAAACAAACAAACAAAATTCCACCTAAGGTTTATTGGAACTGTCAACCACAGGAACGAGTAGGCAAGTGTGCTAGACACTGCACTAAGGTTCCTTGAAAATAACAGAAGCAGGCGAAATGCACAGTGATCTTCTTCTTGGCATTCACAGGCTATAAACTCCAGCAGAAAGTTCTGGTTGTTTGTCCACTTCTGGACTTTGGTCTTATTCTAGGACTACAGTTTCACGTGCACATTCGTTTTACAGGTCTGGCTATTTGTATGCAGACTGTAGGGACCTCACACTCCAATTTCTAAGGAAACGTCCCCAGTTAGTCCCTTATTATGACATCCTGAAAAAAGTGGGGGGGGGGGGGGGGGGGGGTTACTTTTTTCTCTCTACGCAATGGAGAAACCACACATGGATGACAAGGGATAAGAAGGCTTTCCTCTCCATGGAAGCTAAGGGACCCAATTTTGGTAAGGGGTGGGGGACGAAAAGAATAGATCCACTGCCCTTTAAGATCATCATCATCATCATCATCACCATTACCTCTCATGCCGGTGAGCACAGGATGTCATCTTCCACCATCTCACATGATCACCGGAATCCAGATTAGGTCACTGTTTTTGTCTTCTTACCCATTAACAAGCATGGCTCAAAAGGCAACTTATTAAGAGTGTGTTGGGCTTAAAAGGGATGATATCAGAGCCTAGGTGTGAAATAAAACACAATGTGTCAACTGGCATTTTGCAGCCAAATACAGAAGAATAAAAGGTCTTCCAGTGGACAGTAATGTGAACCACACTCTGCAAAGAACCTGCCACAGAATGATGATGATGATGACGATGATGCTGGTGGTGATAATAATGGTAGTAGTGGTGATGATGGTGATAATGATGATGACGACGATGATGATGACTATAGTCACTTGCCTCTGCGTTGAAGTTAACAGCCTTGCTGTCCGCCTGCTGTAGATGAAGGGTCAGCTCGTTGATTCTAGTGCTGTAATGGTTGATGATCAGCTGCTCTCTTGTATCTATGTCATTTCTTGTCACGTTGGCAGTTTCTATGCGGCCAAGCTGAAAGAATTCAAAACATCCATTGAAATCAGAAAGAGGTAGTTAGGCTAGAAAAAAGAAGGTGGAGGAGAATGAGAAGAGGCAGCACCAGCAGAAAAATAAGGAGAAGAGGAGGAAGCAGCACCAGCAGAAAAATTAAGAGGATGAGAAGAAGCTGCAGCCCAAAAAAATAAGGAAAATGAGGAGAAGGAACAGCTGCAAAAAAAAAAAAATAAGGAAGAGGAGGTGAAGAAACAGTAGCAGCAGTAAGAGCCAAAAAAAAAAGGAGGGGGAGAAGAAGAAGCAGAGGCAGAAAATAATGAGGAGGGAGAGAAGCAGAAGCAGTAGCAGAAACATCTGGAAGAGGAGCAGAAGCAGCAGCAGACAAATGAGGAGGTGGAAGAGAGGGAGAAGGGTAAATAGCAGAAACAAAAGAAGATGGATTGAGATAAGAAGGTTTCATATGTTCTATATTATAGAAATAGATTATCTTCTACAGAAATTAGCTTGACAAATATGGCAACAAAAAATTACCTACAGAGAAAATAGCTTGGCAGAAAATTATATGGTCTTGAAAAACTGGTATAATAAATATAGCAAAACATTACAGAAAATGGCTTGACAAACATAATGATTAACTAGAAATGACATAAAACTATCAAGTGCTGAATATAACATAAAAGGGGACTAGACAACTCAACGAAGGTAATGGAAAAAACACACATAAATACAACTAAATGTTTTGACCAAAATCATTATCAGTGGAGTACTAAACACAATACAAACTAAATGAGCTTTCTAGTCCTATTTGGAGGCTGCAGTTTCTGGTAAACAAGACAGAGGTCGACCACTGTAAAAGTTGATACAGAACTGAAGATGCATAAGCATGAAAACATACAAGGCTTGAGAACTGGCTAGAGAAGGACTTTCAGTTGTGCCTTGAGGAGAATAATGTTCTATATAAAGGACAGACTGACAGAATGATTGACTAAGTCCCATTTTATGTTGTAGTTAGCCCTTCTTGTCATCAACGTGACTGTGGTAGTTCCCTATGTATGATATAAAACCATATTTATCCAGACAAACTGGCTAGGCAAACACTGCAGAAAACAAAACAAAAAACACTTACCATACTCATGTCAAGATAGGAGCCACTGTTAACAGAGTCAGACCTTGTGCTAGCGTCGGAAGATGGAGCTAACTTTTCTATATGATCTTCTAGAGAAACTGATGGAGCGGCACTGACAAACCCGCTGGAGATGGATCGAGCTATGTCCAAGTCTCTCTCCAGCTGCTTGGTTTTCTGAGAAGTAATTACTGCAAGTGTTTTGAGAGAAATTTCATACTCAGTGAGTGATGTCTAACTCCACTAGGACCACACAATGAGCGACTAAAACACAGTGACACAAAGTGCCACCATTCAGATGAGAATCCTCCAGGTACAAATCCCAGAAACCCCATTCAATGGTAACTAGGGCCCACGACGCTGGTTACATAGTAACCTAAATTTCAGGCTGGATGGGACTTTAAAACTGATTACAAAAATGTAGTCCTGTGTCAGGACAGAGTTATGTCCCAATTAGCACATGTATCAAGGGCTCTTTCACTGAATTCAAACAATCACATATTGTGTTCTTTTACTGTTCATATTTGGTCAGAGAATGCTAGTGAAATCTGGCTTCCTGTGTGGTTACTTCCAGTCACTGCCTTTTTGCCTAAAATAATGTATACATTTGTGATTGTTCATAGTGGTTATTACGTCCCTTTGGTAGGTAGCTGTACCCCACCAGGACATCACCCAAGAGACAAACAACCGGTGATACAAAGTGCCACCATGCCGATGAGGATCACCAGAAACCCCTTTCAGCCTTTAGGCCATATTTATGGCCCGGCTATATTCAGGGCCCCTAGCAAAAGCCAGGGTGGGGCTTCATATAACAAAAAATTGCATCCCAATTGGGGACGACTTTTGTTGACTGTTTGTTAGGAAATATAAGCAAAACTTTCTGGGACTCAAGAGAGTTAAAAACCGGGACAAAATATGGAACTCCAAATTACATCGTTTTAAAACAATGAGACATATTTTCAGTTCTAATAATCCCCATCCAAGTTTTCATGCCCCATTTGGGGTAACAGACCCACTGACCCTCCCCCAAAAGAGCATATTATAAAAAGCTACTAATTAGCAGTTTACAGAAATCAGGTACTGTGTTGTGTGAAGAAGGCACATCGGGAAGGAATAATAATGAAGGAAAAAAATGATTGCAGAAAGGAGGAGAGCCGAGCCTCTGAAAAGAATCACACTAAACACAAATGCTGACAACAATGGTCCTGAAATCCCTGGCTATAATTGTGGAAAACTTTTCTTAAAGGTCTTGCTAGTCACACTCAGCAGGGCAGAGCTGATTAACCCAGCCAGACCTGAGGCCCTGAACCTAACTGCCCCCTATACCTGAGCTCCTGGGCATTAACACACACACAAAAAACATGATATACACAAATATTAGTTACATGCAAACAAGTGGTTAGAATAAGAGAAAACTTGGAGACATTGTAGAAAAAAGGTTAACCTATCATCTAGCACCAATATTCCCCCCTTTGTGTGCCAATCCACACAGCAGGATGAGCCTTGTTTCACAAAGTGAGCCCCATATGTTGCTGTTTGAGGGACATGCCACCTTTCTATTACTATCGATCTAGTTCAAGACCTAAAAGATTCAAGATTCTCCTCATCGCTCGAGCTCTCACTGTCTGCATTAGAGGAACTGGAAACGTGTTCTTGATGAAATTCCGACTCCTCAGAAACTAAATCAACCAAAGTATTGATCACCTAATTTTTTTTTCATGTAGTATGCACAAGTACAAAAAAATTAGGTACAGCGGTTTGGCGGCAGATTAGGAAATTACCATAAAGCAGTACAGCTGTCTGGTAGAGTTAAGACTTAATAATAGAAAGTAATCATACAACAGGGCTTAACTATGCTAACTCAGGGGCCAAAATTGTGACAATAGGGATTATCACAGGCCCAAACCCTAGCACAGAAAGATCATTAATACAAAACAACTAGCAATGATCTGCAGGACACTTGATAGGCCTCTGCAGGCCAGATTTGGCCCCATAGGCCACAAGTTGAAAAGCATACAGGTACATATCATCAAGTGCCCTGGTCACCCGCATGGGCAATCATGCCTGTTCACATCAAACAACATGTGTCAGTTCATGTGTTGACACCTTCCCTGCCACAACAAATGGCTGTTGAGTATATTCTCTCATCTTCCTCTCATATAGCATCTTCTTCTTCTTCTCTTTCACCTTGTACCTCATCGAAGTGTCTGGGGAGATGTAATATTTGTTGATGAACTCTGTCAAGAGCACTTTTAAGACTGATGTTCATTTCTGTAAGGCTGTTCTCAATGCCATCACTCCATATTTTCGGAGGTCTTCCACTCGCTCTATACCCATTGTAACATTTTAGTGTGACTCGCTGTGGCAGATAGTACCAGGGCATTCTTGTTAGGTGTCCAAACCACTTAATTTGTTGTTCTTTGATGACCTGTAAGACTGGCTTTATTCCTAGCATTCGTCTAATTTTGTATTCTGTCTTTCCTTGAAATTCCTGCAGCTCTTCTAAGGCATTTCATCTCTGTTGTCATAATTTTACATTCATTTGAGGACGTAAGTATCCACGTTTGGCAGTGATAGCATAGTGTTGGCCACAAATAGTTCTGATAAGATTCACTTTAGTACTCCGGGGTATCTGCTTGTGTGTCAAACAGTGAAGATAGTTGCCTGATTACTTGATGAGCTTTGGCATATCTGGAACTAATTTCTCTGCCCAGTTTTCCGTTGGATGTAAAAAGTGCTCCCAAATATTTGAACTTCCCTGTTTGTCTGAAGGAATTGTTTTTTATTTTTATTTCTAATTGTCTTTTTTTTGTGTTTGCTGATATAGCATCAGCAATATCAAATCTACTTACCACCTGTTCATTTTCAAATTTTATCTTCAAAAGCTGAAGCTCAAGCAGATAATGTTCCTTCTCCTGCTCCAGTTTGGTCAGTCTTTGTTGGAACAATGAAATCTGGGAAGCAATCATACAGTTGTTAAGAATAATGGTTCTCAAAGCAAGAGACAGAACCTGAAAAAATCATTCAATTGAAAGTAACAGATACTTATCTGCTTTTGCTTTTTCTTTTTAGAGTTCACCGGCTGTAAACTCTGGCAGAGAGTTTTTGGTTGTTTGTTCACTTCTGTGGTTTTGTTCCAAAACTCAAGTTCTGAATGCGCATCTGTTTTACAGATCTGGCTTATCTGCTTATAACGGCGTTGTGCGGGCACATTTTAGAGTTTACAATCAACCAAAAGTATTTCAGGACCCTCGCCGGTGCTACAGATTTCATGCACTGCGCTGAGATTCTTCAGACTCGGGCTTGAGTCAGAAGTAGAACGGAGCACTAATGGGTTACCCTTTGTGCCATGATGATGATCCATCATCTCACCTAAATCATGTGATTAACAGTCTACAACTGCTGATACATTGTAACTGCTGTTTCCACTGAGAATCAACTGACACGTCTGCAATTCTTTGAGACGATTAGCTTTGTGGTGGCATCTTTCCAGCTCAGCACACAAACACACTAACCGCTACGCCACCAAAATTTTTTATTTTGCTCTTTAACGCATGAACCAAGCAAAACTGATATGGTCTCACCTGTTTGGCCAGACTCTCTTTACTTTCAGCAGAGCTGTAGAGTTATAAGACAGACAAGATGGCGTTATACTGGACACATTCTGTGAGGAAACCAGCAGATGGTTAAGCGTCGTGGGGAGGAATAACCAGCAGAGAATCCCCAGACACCAAAATTGGAAATAGAAAGACTGAAGAAAAGTGGGGGAAACCCTAAGGCCAACACGGATGAGAGAAGCCAAAGCTGTTGGATTGGATACCATCCATGATAACATAGCGATCGCACCAGATACAACAGAATGGAGAAACAGACTGCAAGCCGTATGTGACATACATTGGTATCAGAGGACAAAGAATATATGATAGTTAATTACATATGACCCATTGTTCACACATGTGGCGTCCGTGGCTTAGCCGTTGGGAGTCTGACTCATAATTCCAACATACCGTGATGGAAACTCACTCCTGGCTGCGGGGATTTTTATCGTGGTATGGGGCATCGCAGGTTGACCCAGCGTGAAATGGGTGTCAGGATGGATGTCCTGGGGAAGTAAAGACAGCTGGCGTAATGCTGACCACATGACCCACCCAGTGCTGATTGGTCTGTAAAAATATGGGGTGCTCTTCCCATATGCCCGATAGGCCTGAAGGTGTGAAAAGGGATCTTTACTTGTATTGTTCACATAAGCTCAGAAATACCAGCCACAGAATGGAAACTTTTTGACCTAACAAATAAATAATCAATTTCTCAAATTCAAACTGAAAAGAAGCCTAATATTTCAAGGGTTCTCATTCAAACTAAAAGTGAACCCTTATATGTCAAGGGTTCATTTTCAAATTAAAACCCTGATATTTTGAGTATTCACATTAAAAATGAAACTGAACCCTGATATGTCAAGGATTCACATTCAAAATGAAACTGAACCCTGTTATGTCAAGGATTCACATTCAAATTGAAACTGAACCCTGATATGTCAAGGATTCACATTCAAAATGAAACTGAACCCTGATATGTCAAGGATTCACATTCAAAATGAAACTGAACCCTGATATGTCAAGGATTCACATTCAAAATGAAACTGAACCCTGATATATCAAGGATTCACATTCAAAATGAAACTGAACCCTGATATGTCAAGGATTCACATTCAAAATGAAACTGAACCCTGATATGTCAAGGATTCACATTCAAAATAAAACTGAACCCTGTTATGTCAAGGATTCACATTCAAATTGAAACTGAACCCTGATATGTCAAGGATTCACATTCAAAATGAAACAGAACCCTGATATGTCAAGGATTCACATTCAAAATGAAACTGAACCCTGATATGTCAAGGATTCACATTCAAAATGAAACTGAACCCTGATATGTCAAGGATTCACATTCAAAATGAAACTGAACCCTGATATGTCAAGGATTCACATTCAAAATGAAACTGAACCCTGATATGTCAAGGATTCACATTCAAAATGAAACTGAACCCTGATATGTCAAGGATTCACATTCAAAATGAAACTGAACCCTGATATGTCAAGGATTCACATTCAAAATGAAACTGAACCCTGTTATGTCAAGGATTCACATTCAAATTGAAACTGAACCCTGATATGTCAAGGATTCACATTCAAAATGAAACTGAACCCTGATATGTCAAGGATTCACATTCAAAATGAAACTGAACCCTGATATGTCAAGGATTCACGTTCAAAATGAAACTGAACCCTGATATGTCAAGGATTCACATTTAAAAAAAAAAACACTTTTGCTAAAATCCACGCCAAAGAGCCAGATGAAATAACTGACAATGATGATTTTAATACAGAATATTTAACTCTAGTGTCAAATCAGTACTGTTGTACGGAGTACTAAGCTGAAACATGCAAACAATTAAAATAATCACTGTCTCCTTCTTTTTGTTCATCCGAGTGACGTAAATGTGTTGCGCCTGTTTACAGCAGAGCTGCGATATTTGCGCATTTCGGCCAACACATCTGACTTCCTTGGGCATTTGTTGAGTAGGTTAACTTTCTGGAGAACAATCACTGATAAAACTTCTTCTTATCCTATTTCTTCTTCTCTAGTTCTGTTCTGCCTTTCAGCATCAGGTTGTTGAATTAAGAATCCACATCATAGCACTCAGGACAATCCCATAAGTGGTCCGTCCCCATCTTCAGCAGCAAGCGAAGAGTTCGAATTCCAATGGCACCAGTAACTGTCTGATTGTATGTACATCAGTCTCGCCTTTCCCCCCGAGTGTTGAGTGTCGGCCAAATCCTCTGGTAACTCCTTGCAGCGCCATTCTCCTTAAACCACAATGATCAATCTGTGCCTCCTCACTGTTCTCTCGGAACTGGAACTCTTTAACTGCTGCTGAAGATGGGGATGGAGGGCTTATGGAAGTGTCCAGAGTGCTATGATGTCGATTCTTAATTCAACATTCAACATTTTTTGTCTGGAAAGATGGAAGGGTGCAAAAAACAACAACAATTTGTGTAGGCAAAACACAAACTACAAATACCTTGCTAATAGCTGTGATAAAGTAGGCTGCCCTTTGCCGGAAGGTGTTGACCGCCGGGTGCGACCTCGGCCCATCTACAACTGCACTTGAACAAACACTACTTCCCCTGGTCCTATACCCTGCTGGTTGTGAAAAGAAGTCCAAGTTTCCGGACATAAATGCTGCTATCTGAAAGAGAAGAAAAACAAATGTGCTTATTTTAGCAACAGTATTAGCAGCCTTTCGGCAAGAAGCGGCTGGTCGAGTGGTCAAGTATGGTAGGCTGGTTTGAATCTCTGGTTTCCTGTATGGGTTCTGAAGCCCCATTGTAGGGAAAACAAGAAAAAGCCCTCCCCAATAAGCACAACTACTTGGGAGCATCCTTCAAAGTCTGAGTGCAGCTGCTTGAGAAGCAAGGAACCAGAAGATACAAATAAGCCAGATCTGATATATGGATGTGCATGCAAAATTCAGGTTCTGGAACAAGACTAAAGTCTGGAGGGGGGACAAACACCCAGAACCGTAATACTCTTTGCTTTCCTCAAGGATCAAAATAAGGTAGGAGCAGGATTACCTGTGGATTACCGCAGGATCATTTTTAATTAGGCCTTCACATATTCTAGGCAACTGCATAATGAGTTAAGGAGATGATACTATCATCTTCAACTCTCAAATAATACTAGAACAAAAAAAATATACTGATTTTATAAGAATGGGTTCCCGTCTGGGGTCCGGGGACCCACTGTGGGGGAAAACAAGAATAGACTTACTACCTACCCGGACTTTTTCAAAAATGACCCTGGCTCCCAGGTCGACCCACCCTTGATTGGGTACCGGGTGCTGTACTGGGAAGTAAAGACGGATGCCATGATGCTGACCACATCATCCATCTTGTGCCGACTGGTCTATAAAATAAATGTCTAGCCCTATATGCTCTATACACCTAAAGGCGTGGAAAAGGGTCCTTTACATTACTTACCTCCCCAACAAGCATGTTGTAGGAGTCGACTAATTGGGGACATCCTTTGATGTTGGAGTACATCCGCGTGAGAGGCAATGAACCACAAATCTGCATACAAATAAGTCAGATCTGTGAAACGGATGTGCAGACAACACTCATGTTCTGAAACAAGACTAAAGTCAGGAGGTGGACGAATACACAGAACTTTCCAATGGAGTTTACAGCCAGTGAACGCGAATAAGACGAAGAAGAAAAGAATGGGTCGGGTCAAACATATAACAGGACAGGCCAAAAATTTTAATTTGCAAAGAACAACCAATACTCAAAGGACATACCTTGCCGGTGTTTGTGACCAAAGAAATTAAGGAAGCAACCACACATTCATCTGTTCTTTTGAGTTCCTTGGTGGCTGTTGGTAGTTGGTGCTCCAGGGACACCTTGGAATTGTAATGCTTGGAGACATCTGGAAAGGACAAGGGGGTTTTAAATGAAAACCTAACAATTTTTTAAAGAATATATAATAACCATGGCATTGTCTTGTATCCTGTCAGCACTGTTGTTAAGGATGTGAAGAGTGTTAAGCACATGACATCATGGTGCAGATGAACATAGTGATGTCATAATGACAGTTTAAAGATGGTCGTCCCACTTTAGACATACTCCAATGAGGAGTGGCCTTTTGTTATATGTCTGGTTGATCAGAAAAGAGGTGAAGCCTACAGACATTTCTCAGCAAATGTCAGAGTAGGAAGTTTCAAAATGGCGTGACATCTGTGACAGAGTGTGCCTAACACGGTCACGACCCTGTAGTTGCATACAAAAATTATAAAGAACCAAACAGTCCTTTCTTAGAATATTAAGAATGCCAGGAAATAAAGACTTGAGAATGGATTTTATAGCACTCAGGGATTCTCACAAACACATCATCCACATTATCAGCAGCTGGCAAAGAAATAGCCCACTAATGGTGCATGTTGCAGTCATGATTCCTTTCCCAACACTCTAGCATGACCTAAAGAAAATATCAAAAGGACTCTAACTACCCAGAACCAATGAAGTGTTGCTTGCTACTCTGCACGGAGCATGCCTATCTGCCCCTTTGTCAACATACCAACTTCTTACTTACTTACTTACTTAGTCGCTCCTCTTCTACCTTGGGGTGTAGAGGATAGCCAAAGAGATTGTCTGATTGTGGATTTTGTCCCTTCTGGTCACTTGGACCACCTTTCTCAGATATCTCATTTCTGAGGCCTGAAACTGGCTTCTGTGAGTTGTTGTCATTGCCCATGACCATACCGCATTCACTACTGCAATATATTTTCCTTGCCTTTTCTCTGAGCACTGAGTATTAACCAGATTCTCTGGGCAATGATTATCAACCAGATTCTCTGAGCACTGATTAACAACCAGATTATCTGAGCACTGATTATCAACCAGATTCTCTGAACAATGATTATCAACCAGATTCTCTGAGCACTGATTATCGGCCAGATTCTCTGAACAATGATTATCAACCAGATTCTCTGAGCACTGATTATCAACCAGATTCTCTGAGCACTGATTATCAACCAGAGTCTCTGAGCACTGATTATCAACCAGATTCTCTGAGCACTGATTATCAACCAGATTCTCTTAAGTACTGGCAGATGCACTCTGACTTTCGAAGAAAACCCCCAATTAGTCAACTGTTACCACATGCTTGTTAGAGAGGCAGTGGGTCTCTTCTTCTTTCCCGCAAAAATGGAGACCCGGAACCCACACGGGGAAATCTGTGTCTAATAACCATACATTCGGAACCATGAGCAAAACTTTCATCAGCCTCTCCTGTCAACGTTCCATGCACTTCCCTGATTCCTGTACCTTTCCCCTGGCATGTGACATCCTGACGTTGCTGGTTTCCTAATGTTATAGCCAGGGTCTTTTTTCTTTCTGGTGGTACACAGTACCGACACCTTGCTTTTTTAAGGCATTCTTTTTTTTTTTCAGTACTACTGCAAAAACACATTATGGTGTGAACCATATCGGACACTTTGTAGTGAGTACTGGCACCTTTCTTCTAGGAAACAAAACCCTGGTTACGTCTTCTTCTTCTCTTCCACCTTGTACCTGAGTGAGATGTTGGGGGGAGATGTAACGTTCGTTGATGAGCTCTGTCAAGAGCACTATTAAGACTGATGTTCATTTCTGTAACACTGTTCTTAATGCCATCACTCCATCTCTTCTGAGGTCTTCCACTCACTCTAGACCCATTTTAACATTTCAGTGTGGCTTGCTGTGGCAGATAGTACCAGGGCATTCTTGTTAGGTCTTGGGCCCTGGTTACAACAGGGGTAATAATCATCATCATCATCAAAAGAAGATGAACAAATAATTACTACTAATGCCAGTCACAAATAAGAGGAATGTCTTGACAACCAATGGTATCAGTTACTGGTACCATCAGAATTTTAACTCTTCGTTTGTTTCTGAAGATGGGGACTGAGCGCTTAAGGGGGTGTCCCGAGTGCTGTGATGTTGATTCTTAATTCAACATTTAACATTCCAATAGTATCAATAGTTTTCAGAAAAAGAGGATAGTGGTATGTTAGGCACAGCCAGAGAAGAAATATGCAGAGCATCACCAAACACTAACTAAAATTGCAAATAAATGGACTGAGGAAATGAGGACATTAACAAGAAACCCTAATATAAACACTGATGAGAGAGGCCAAAGCTACAGGACTGTATTCCACCACAGAATCAAACAGATTTTAAGGATAGAATGGAAGGGAAGTATAGACTGCAAGTCAAGTTCTATATGATGTATAACGGCACAACAAGATGATGATGATGATGAATGTCAGTCATTGAAAGAGCAGTGGCAAGCCCAATAACCTGCAACCATGAAGTCATTTGTTTAAATCCTCATTGTGGTAAAAGTTTTTTTTTTTTTTTTTTAAACTGACCTGGACTCTTAATTAGTTCCAAATAAAGTCCTGGGAAGAAAAGGTGGCCAGCATTCATACTAAGTATATCACCTGACTGGTCGATAAAATGTAGATGCTGAAGGCGGGGGAAGGGAGGCGGGGAAATGGAGGCAGGGGAAAGGGAGGCAGGGGAAAGGGAGGCAGGAGAAAGGGAGGCGGGGAAAGGGAGGCAGGGAAAGGGAGGCGGGGGAAAAGGGAGGCGGGGGAAAAGGGAGGCAGGGGAAGGGAGGCGGGGGAAAGGGAGGCGGGGGGAAAAGGGAGGCGGGGAAAGGGAGGCGGGGGAAAGGGACCTTTACTTTACTTTTACTACCAATGACTGCAAAACTGTGCATCTGAAAGCTTAAAAGCGAGAAAATCATTCAGTGCTAGAAATTACCTATAAATCAACTGAATATGCCAGCAGTTGGTAAACGAACAAACGAATGAACGAACAAACTTTTTATTTTCATAGGGTCCCAAATTGGGCACACAGGCCCATCTTACACTGAGAAGGAATCGGTCAAGTTTTTTAGCAGGATTGCTCAGTTTCAGGTGGGGACGGAGTGCTTATGGAAGTGTCCCAAGTGCATTGATGGTGATTCTTACATTCAGTCTCTAAAAAGCCACACCACTCCAGTGAACACACTCAGAAATGCATGAATAACTTACCTTTCACAGCATCATGAAGATCATTCAAAGATTTACAGAACCCGGTAAAAAACTTTGGATGTGACGACCGAGGATGGCCCAAACCTGGTACACCTGATTGACAATGGGACACAAAATAACACCAATATTAATGATCAACTAATCAAATTAGTAGTGTAGCGGCTAGAGGCTTGCCAGCGGAACATAAGGTCTGATGGAGTCAGACTTTTTTACAAAATGACCTTGGCTCCTATGTTGACCTAGCCTTGAGTGGGTACCGGTTGCAGTCCTGGGAAGTAAAGGTAGCTTGTGTGAAACTGACTACATCACCCACCAAGTGCCGATTGGTCTATAAAATATAGGTCTGGTTTTATATACCCAACACACCTAGAGACCTTTGCAAATAAGAATAAAAGTTAAGTTTAAGATAAATATTGAATGAAAGAATGAGCTGAGTTAAGAATTAACATATCATATCATTCATATTATTCCAAAAAGTGCTCCGTACCCATGTTCAGCAGCTAGAACTACTACTTATTCGGGTTCACCAGCTGTAAACTCTGGCGGAAGTTCTGGGTGTTTGTCCACCTCTGGACTATAGTCTTGCTCCACAACCTGAGTGTAAAGTGCAATCTGCTTCATAGATTTGGCTTATCTGTATGCAGACTCTTGGTTCCTTACCGCTCAGGCAGATGCACTTCAACTTCGAAAGATGCCCCTAATAAGTTGACTCCTACAACATGCTTATGTTTATCTGAGCACTGACCTTTAGGGTAAACACATTAAGAAGCAACAACCTCTCATCCTGAATTTTACTGATTTCAGGGAGGCATCTGACACCTGACACAGAATTTGACTATGGGGAATTTTGGAATGCTACAGCATACCATTAAAGAAATACCCATTATTAAAAATATATATATATATATAAATATTTATATATATATTTATATACGATGGTCCAGAATGTGCAGTGTGTACTGAAAATGGTTTAAGTGACTGGTTTTTAGTGGAAACATGGAGTGAAACAAGGTTGCATTTTACCTCCCTTGTTGTAGCCATTGAATGGGCAATGAAAAGATGTTGCAAAAGGCAGTATTGGCATTGATTGGATAGATAAGAGACAACTGGAAGATCTCGATTTTAAAGATGATATTGTTCTGTTGAGTAAAAAAATAACAGAGACATGCACAGAAAAACAGACGATTTGTCATCTACAGCATCAAACATAGAACCACAAACAATTTGAGAGAAAACAAATCTATTAAAGATACCAACAACAGATCATGTAGATGTCATGCTAGAGAACAAACCAATAAAAGTAACAGACCATTTTACCTATTTGGGTAGCAATTTCGGCTCTCAAGGACATACAACAAAGGAAATTATGATACACATTGGCAAAGCAACAACAGTCTTTAAAAGCCTTAACAAAATAAGGAGCTCCAAGTTAAGGCCAAACTCCAAATTTAAATTCCGACAGAAAGTTCTGGTTGTTCATCCACTTCTGGACTTCAGTCTTGTTCCAGAAATTGAATTGTGTGTGCACATCCTTTTCACAGATCTGGCTTTTTTTTTTAATGCAGACTTTTGGTTCCTTGCCTCAGATAGATGTGTCCTGACTTCAGAGGAAAAATCCCTAATTAGTCGACTTTTACGACATGCCCGATAGGGAGGAGGTGGATACATTCATCCCAACCCCCCCTTTAAAAAACAAGGCCCCAGAACCCAAACAAGGAACCACTCTGGTATATTGAGTTAATCCAGCACCCAGAGAAAGCCATTTTCCAACTTTCACAGGGTCTGGTTGACATGATAACTTTGACAGTGCTCAATTCGCTGCATGAAACTATCAGTACTGTCTGCTAGATTTGTAGACATGATGGGCATGGTTACATGTGCACATTTAAGATATTATTCGGTGTAAAGAAAATAGATTTGTTTAAATTGTGATGTCCTATAATTTCCTAACTGTGTCACACTGCTGTCTGACAAAGTGACCAAAACCACTTTTAAATGGTCAAACAGGAGGAAAATCAGCGAATTCTTTGCACCATTTGTATTTAGTGATTACTGCCCCTTCATGTGAAAAAACCTTTTCACAATTTACACATTTACTGACTGGAATTTGTCTGTTCTGTTTGGTGATGTGACATCATCAAAGAAGCAGCAGGCTTCATGCCTGCCTGTCTACTCAGTGGTCTAGGGGTTTGATCTCAACCCCAAAACAGGTCATGACACTACCGTAGTCTAATACTGTAACTAATCACTCAATGTGAGGCTGAACAAATCAATCATGGAGAAACTTTTAAATGATTGCAAGGCAATTGTGAATGTAACTTACTTTGTGCTGCAAGTATAGAGGTATAACTTTCAATCTTGTTAAAGACACCATTGAGCCTTTTCAGTGAATGCAACAAGTCTTTGTTCTTGGATGCAAGAGTTGCTGTACACGAGGAGACAGCATTCTCTTCCTCTAGGCTGAAATAAAAGAATAGTTAGGTAAAAGGCAGGAGTGAGAAGAAGCAATGAAAATCATCATCATCATCATCATCAATCAGCAAGTACTTTACAGAACGTCGCTCTCTTCACGGCACGCCTGAAAGTATCCCTTTCCCTAGCCAGCTCTCCAGCCCCATGTGCTTTCAATGCCAATGCATCCTTAATGTCTCGTATCCATCTTCGCGGTGGTCGACCCCCGTCTCGCCTTCCACAAACTGCACCTTCCATCACCGTCTTTTCCAAGCCACCATGACACTTGATGTGGCCAAAATACTTCAACTTTCGGAACAGAATGCTGTTTATGAGCCAGTTCTTGATGTTCAACTCGTTCAGAATGTCGATGTTTTTCCTCTTCTTGATCCATGGAATTCTAAGAATTTTTTTATAACATTTCAATTCAAAAGCTCCAGTCTTTTTCCTCAGTGACTGAGTGAGAGTCCAAGACTAACAACCGTAAGTTGCCACAGGATAAATGCATGATCTCAAGGTTTTTACTTTAACTAATATATTAGTGCTTTGCCATAGATTCTTCATGCTACTTAATCTCTGCATTGCTAATGCAAGTCATACCTTGTTTAAATCACCACTAATTACTGACATCATTTCCCCTCTAGGTTCAGGATCCCGCTGTGAGGGAGAATAAAAGGACTCACTGCTCCTTTAAAGAGCTTGTTATAAAGTAGTGGAAAGGACCCTTTTCCTTGCCTTTAAGCATATCAGGCATATAGGGCTAGACCTATACTTTAAAGATCAATCGGCACTTGGTGGGTGATGTAGTCAGCATCACGCTGGCCACCTTTACTTTCCAGGACTGCACCTGGTAACCACTCAAGGCTGGGTCGAATTGGGGGCCAAGGTCATTTTGCTGCTAGTTTTTCTCTCTCTTTTTTTTTTTTTTTACAACTCTTAAAACTATCAAACTTTAAATGAACGCATGATTGTATAAACTTTATTTTCAATGGGTTCAGAACTGGATGGACAAGTTTATCTAAAAAAAATTAAACAAACCATGATAACAAAAATCTGTCTTACCTGGCAACATAGTACGGCAACAGTTTGTTCATATATGCTACCAATCGTTTGAAATTCCTTGCGAACGGCTGCAATTCAGTCGCTGTTTCCTAAAAGTAATAATTTAAAATTCCGAGCTATAATTTTATTTTACATATGTTTGTAAATTCTGAAATGAACCTACTTTTCTCTTTACAAATAAATGGTCCAAAAGGAATAGCACATTTATTGTCACAATTCTTCTTCTTTGTTCACCAGCTGTGAGCTCCATTGAAAAGTCCTGATTGTTCATCCATTTGGACTTTGGCATTGTTTTGCATGTACATCCGATTTACTTGCTTGTGTGCTAGTTATTCCTTGCCGCTCTGGCAGATCACTCCGACTTTGAAGGAAGTCTCCAGTTAGTCAAATCCTAAGACATCTTGTTGGGGTGGCCAGGCAGTGGGTCTATTCTTGTTTTTCCAACACTGGAATCCCAGAACCCACACAGGTAATTCTTCTTCGGCATTCCAGGCCCTTGAGATTCATTGCTGCAGATATTGCCCACCTTCATTCATCTCTCTGGTTGGCCCTCTCTTTCCAGTTGGTGACACCAAGTGTTCGTAGGTCTGTCTGGATATTATCTCGCCATCGTCTTCTTAATCTGCCTCGTGGTCTACGACCATTCATCTCCCTCATGTATACAGTTTTTACTTCTCTGTCATTCTTTCAATATGCTCCAGCCATTTCAGTCAATTAGCTCTCATGATGTCAGTGATCAGTAGTGATTTAAACAGAATATGAATTTTGTTGTTGCTTCTCACTCTCCATTCACCGCTGTTTTCATCTTTGATGGGTCCAAAGATTCGTCGTAAGACTGTTTTAAAAAAACCTGTAATAAGGCTTCATCTCTTTTAGTTGTGCTCGAAGCTTCAGAGCCATATTATACGTCACAGGTAATTGTCACACTAAAATAAATGTTGATAAGGAGGACACAAATAATATATTGCACAATTTATTGCCAGGCATATTTTGCTGCATCTTGTCAGGTGCATCATTACAGTTTACATCAAAATTTAATCATTAGTTAGTTAGTCCAGGCTCCAACATCATGGCAGAAACAAAATGTTTTTCCCTGTCCTATCTGAAAACAAGTTTAAAAAAAAAAACTTGTTAGTCCACTGCAACATCTTGAAGCCTGCACATGCAAAGTACAAATGCACAAGACAGCTGAAAGATGTGCCAACACTAAGAGTCCCACACCAGAATTGCAGCTCACTGTTGGTTCAAATGGTCAATCATGAAATCTGGCATTGCACCCACAAAAGTCATTCTGAATGTACTCAGCCACCTGCTTTTTCAGTGCAGTCAGTAACCCGCCACAGCCACAACATCAGAAAGATTACTCATGAAATCCACATCTCACAGTGTCACACCAAGCACTCAACATTTAATGTGAAGCACAAACATTAAACATTTCAAACAAAACATACAAATCACAGTGTCTCTTGTTATACTGTACATCTCTAAGAAAAAAAAAGTCTAAAATTAACCTCGTGATCACCAAAATGCTTTTATGGAATAATGAGGGGAAAATCATTTAATGCATGATTAGGTTATATTTGAATCTTTATTCTTCTTTATTTAGGCAATATCTTCTTTGTGTCGCAAGGTATCACAGTTAAACAGACGAGCAGCCAAGCTAGAACATGCTCTGCTACTGAGGGCATGCTCCTATGATACATTTGGCTCTTAAATATGATACTTTTATAACCAATGTTTTGATATTTTTTAACGTCTGGGAAATATGGTTCAAAAGTTTATGGGAATGACATATACACACCAGAACCTAGCAATAAAATACCTTTCTTAAATGTTTGTGTATTCTAGACAAACCATTAAGGTCTACTCTGTTCATAAATTGTTGCTGTGCTTGTTATTCGACATATGCTTCGTTAATATGAATTTCTGTAACGCCTGGTGCTATTTAATTGGTTTGAAATTAATTATGTCCGTATTCCATAGCTGTGGATTACAGGCTGTACGATAGACAATAGGACACTTTTGGGGGGAGGGGGGGGGGGGGGTGCCTGGCTGACCATGTTTTTAGTGCACTTGTTTCCATAGTGAGGCGCACATACCATCTGGAGGTGACAGGTTCGATTCCCGGCAGGGTAACTATAGCTTTTGATTTTTATGTTGTCTAGTGTGTTCTTCTATCTTTCTACTTCTTTCTATGGGTGCCAATCAATACATTTTCTGTTACTTTGTTAATATATAATATCAGCCTCAAGAGTTCCCCCTCTGTTTATTTAAAAAGTCTGGCACAGATACTTACCAGAATGGTTAAAGAGTCATCTTGCAGACTGTTAACAAACTGTCTAAGTGCCTGTTCAACTGGCCGTGTGTACAGCATATTTTCATGAAGGTATTTGCAAAACTAAAGAAAACAAACCATAGTAGGCTATAACACACTTGAATTCAGGATAGCATAGAAAATATATTATTGCCTATTATAGCATTTCATGATTCGAAAACAATATAGATAGCATAAAATTACAGAATACAGCATACATCAACATATGACCATGTAGGAAATATACTATTACATATTATAGCACTTATAAATCCAAAACAATATATATATATATATATTATAACTATAAACAAGACTGACATGTTAAATGTCATGAGGTGGGTAGCCAAAGCAAGGGACGAGATTCCAAACATATCATTTGTAAAGTCTTGTAAATTCTAAAGGTGGGCATTTCAACCCTGAAGGCAGTAAATGTATCACACTCCATGAATGTGCTTCAGAAGTTAGCAACATGCGGTGTGCGCTCTGAATGGGTAGAAAGCATTTGAAAATACATTTAACCTGCCCCCCCTAGATCTACACACCTGGCCGTGCTGACATAAAGGGTAATGAACGAGCGAACTAACTGGCAAGCAATGCACCAATGCACGTGGGAAGAAGCATGGAGAGAGTAAATATTGTCAATGCTGTACGGACTGGGCTAGTGGATAAAGGCGAATCTCTGACAATAATACGATTGCGTGACATGGGAGTAAAGTATGGTGAAGCATGTCTATGCCACCTTCGAGGCCGAGATACAAGACATTATAACCAACTTCTCATAGGAAGTTGATCAAATAATTGTTGATCTCGTGGAAATGGTGACACAGGGTTAAATAACAGAAGAAGGACAGGAAGCATCCTTATATGACCGGAAAAAATCTCATTCCACATTCAAACGGGTTCAAGACGACTGAGGCAGCGCTGCAGTTGATTAGTGAGCAGAAGGAAGTGATACCAGCTAATATCATCTGCTTGCCTTAGTGAAGGGAGACTGAGTCCAAAAAGAAGGCTAAAAGGGCGAAGCTGACAGCTATCAAGGACATTTTAGAAAACTTTTTATCTCAAGCCTAGCTTTTTCCATTCTTGTTATCTATGAACAGTGAAATAGGTTTAAATAATTTTTTTTCAAAGAATTAAACCTATCTTTTACGTTAATGTTTTGTTCATGAGTGTGTAATCATAATGTATGGTGTTCATGATTTTATGCTTCCTGCAATTAAGTTAGACATTATTAAATTTACCTTAAAATGTGCACAACATTTTTATTTCTGGACTTCCTAAATTCGGTAATAAATTTTTTGTAAACGTACAGTACAGTACATAAGAAACATTTATAAAGTACTGGCCTGTATTAAGAGACCATAAAATACGAATCAGTGCAGGTTTCGGTATAAAATGTATGTTTTCAATGATATGGGTGGGGTAGGAAGTGAGTACTTATAGAACAGCATATCTGGCTTTTTATTGGTTATTGTTGTAATCTTATTGTCCAAAGAGTTAAAGTTTCTTCTAGTTTCTTCTAGTGGTCACAGCGCAGGTGAAAGGTTCACACAGCAGCCATGGGTCGGGTGTTACCTGGGATACCAGCTAATTGAATGCTGGGCGATTAACACAAAGGCTCCTGCAGAACACAAAGGATTCGGCAGTCAAGATATTTTCCTTGTCCAAATAGGACGTTCCTTCTTTGTGAAGTTTGATTAACCGTACTTACACGGGAGACAGTTTAATGTCTATTTATTTATTATAATGGCAGGAGTCCATTGAGAAAAGAGTGTAATTCTTTTATATTCTCAGAGTAGATAATAAAGAGTTATTATCGTACGTTTTATTGAATAATCATCATCATCTTGTGACGTGTAACTTTAATCACAATAAAGTTTATGTGGCCTGTCACAAGCGTTATTGTTGGCTTGTAAAGATAGCAACTGTATTACATGATGCTGTGTCGGTGCCAAGTGTGCCAGTTATAGAATGCAGGACTTCACTGTAGCACATCCATCAAGGAGATATCCAGCGGAATACTAGAATAGGCACCCTAGGCCTAAATACTTGGTTCTTGAATATCTTCAACAAAGAGTACAATAAAGTGTACAAATTAGTGTACAACAGTTATCTGACCAGCCCTTCCGCCATATAAGGCCGGACAGTTGAGTCCACTGTATATACGAGGGGGGTTCAAATGAAAATCTTACAAGTCTGACAGAAATTACAGTAAGCATGCCACTGTCTTATAACATGGCAATATTGTTGTTAAGGATGTCAAGAGTCTTAAGCATGAGTTATCATGGAGCAGACAAACACAATGATGTAATAATGACAGTTTACTGATGGCCACCCCACTTTCAACACCCACGAAATAAGAGCAGGGTTCTGTTACCAGTGGGTTTCTTTTTCTTCTTTTTTTTCTCTTTCTTTTCTTTTATTCAATCTTGAAGGAGTAAAAATTATAGAAATTCATTGGCAAATGAAGGTCCAAGATGTGTGGCAATGTTATTCACAGTGGATTGGTAGTTTTCCTGTACCAGGTCTTCAATGACTGCAATCGACTCTGGGGTCCCTACTCTGTGCGCCTGACCCAGTTGAGAAAAAAAAATGGATAACAAAACACTGTTTTTCTCCGATCAAAGTTGACGACCACCTTTAAACCGTCATTATGACCTCACCCTTTTCTTTTGCATCGTGATATCATGTGCTTAACATTCTTGACAACTTTAAAATGAGTGAGCTGCATGTTGGTCTGTGCTCCACTGAGGAACAAAACATCACAAGAAAAGAGGAACAGAGAAGAATCAGATGAGGAAAACAAACAATCCAACAGAATATAATCGCACCTTCATGCTGAGCTGACTAACCTTGACATTGAGCTGACTAAGAGGTTCAGTGACCCCGTCTGCTGGGTAGATCTTTGACCTCTGCTCACTGTAAGTGAAGAAGTTCGACAGACCCTTAGTCAGTTCTTCAACCAGATTGGCACCTTGAGTTATCAGGTCCTTGGCTCGTAGCTGATGGCGACGGTCGTGTGTTGGCAGATTGAGCCCATTCAGTTCTCTCACCTCTAAGGAATTTCAAGAAATTGTTATCTTTGTCTCTGTAATCAACAACAACTTACATTTAATCTGTAAAACGTTATTTAAATCTGAAGAAATTTCAAGTTAATCAACAAAAGAACTTAATTTCCAAAGGGTCACAAACTGGGCACGCAGATCCGTCTTTCAAGTACTCACCTTTCACACAGCAATTGTATTTTTATACGTATCAAGCATATTGTGTTTATATATGAAAATTCATAGTATAAATGTAAATTAAAAATACAAAAGCATGGACAGCAAATACAAACTCTACATGGAATACACATGCAAAAATACAAATACAATGCAGACACTTACATGACTCTGCCACTTTACAATGCAGACCCTTGGTCTTCTTGCTGTGCTACTCATCAATTAGGGCTTTGGTCAAGTCATTCTATTGTTTCTGGGCATGATTTTTCCTTCAACCTTGCTAAGCTTTGTAACCACAGTCTGTATTGATGAATTCATTCACACTAGCCACCATATTATTATAGAACCTAGAGTTACAAGCATGAGTCAACTACATTTTTTGAATAACCACATTTAACCCCTTCCTGTGAAGCTTTGGTTATAACTGCGGTACTAAATCTTACTGTGATTTCATTAGATGATTTTTTTGATACTGGTAGTTCTTGTCTGTTTACCTCCCGTGTCTTTGTGTTGACTGGATTTCCTCCATCTCTGTGCTCCATGTGCTGACTGGAATGCAGTCATGTTGGTGCTGACTGGAATGCAGTCATGTTGGTGCTGACTGGAATGCAGTCATGTTGGTGCTGGCTGGTTGGTCTGGACCTGACTGTGCTACAATAAGGCCAACAATAAATCTCAGGCACTGATGGGAAGATGCACGGACACAGCTGATATCATCAATGCTGTATGGACTACGTTGGGGATAATGGCCAATAGTTGATGCTAATATGATGGCGTTACCGAAGAGTTAAACTTGGTGAAGCATGACTATGCCATCTTCGAAGTAAAGACAGGAGATACTACAACCAGCTTCTCACGGAAAACAATCGGTAGAGGTACCTTGGAGTGGCTGCTGCTTCGGAGGACTGAGCATGCATAGGGATGCCCAATGTGCAAAGACATCAATTGTGATAACATAACATAACATCAGGCAGTGATCAACACTGTCTTCATGTGCGCTCCACATGCGCTCTTTAATTAGCAGTGGGGAAAAAAAACAGACCCAATGCCTCTCTAACAAGCATGTCATAAAAGAGGTAAATCCTTAGGGGTTTCCGTCAAAGTCGGAGTGCATCTGCCTGAGAGACAGGGAACCAGCAGTCTGCATACAACTAAGCCAAATCTGTAAAACAGATGTGCATGCAAAACACATGTTCTGAAACAAAACCCAAGACCAGAAGTGGACAAACAGTCAGAAATTTCTTTCAGAGTTTACAGCCACCGAACACTAAGAATAAGAAGAATGGAAGTGAAGATCAGAGTTCCCAACAACTGATTTATGCATGTATCAAGTATCAATCAAGAATTTCTCATTCCTGGTTTTGCCTAAACATCAAGTCTACTTGGAATCATATGGATATACTATTCCAGACATGCGGGAGTGTGAGGAAATGAAATAGCAGATTTTCTGCCTACAAAAGCGAAAGCAACAGAATACTCGTACTGGACAAGGGAGATATTCTGAAGACCATTTATGAACGACTGTTGGCAGAAGACACGAGATTAGATTAAATAACATGGGCAAGAATGTGAGAACAAGAAATTAAATGTGGATCCGGCAAGTAGGGACGGATGAGAGGAAGAGATCGGCGTGTGTATAATCAGTGTGCTACGGCAACAGTTAACATCTACACCTTAGGTCATTTGCTGCGGGAGACTGAGTGTCTATGGGTTTGTCCAGTGTGCTATGATGTCGATTCTTAAATCAGTAATCAGTAATCAAGTCTACCTTTTGCTAGACTTACTTGTGTCAATGAATGGCAATTTTTCTTGAATAATCTTTGTGGCAAGGTCCAGGCGGCTTTGAAGATTTCTTTCTACAGTCAACAACTTCTCCTCCCTAACAAAAAACACATAAAACACACTGTAGTGTACAAATTAAGAAGAGTTTGGAGGCATATAAGATGAGGTTCTTGGGAAGAATGGCTATCCTGTGAAAAACAGTCCCAAATTATCGAGGCCGAAAATATACCCTAACAGGACCTCAGTCACGTGTCAATTGCGAACTTCCAGGGACTATACCGCAAACGCCGAATTGCGGACTTCCGGGGACTATACCGCCACCGCCAAGAGTATCACCCATGCCGCTCACGCGGCGTGGATTGGGGCTAAACTAGATGGCTGGAACTCACGAGCAAATAAAATGAAGGAAGCTGCAGGAGATGCAGTAGCTGCTGCTTGTGAGTCCCAGCCATCTAGTTTAGCACCAATTCACGCCGCTCACACGGCGTGGGGGATACTCTTGGCGGAAGTACGCAATTTAAATTGCCTGAAGTCCACAATTGACACGCGACTGAGGCCCTGTTAGGGTATATTTTTGGCCTCGATAATTTGGGACCGTTATTCGGAGGATAGCCGGAATAACCAACACTGAATGCCTGGAAATGGCTAATGAAAGTAGAATATTATATACAACAATGAGAAGGAGACAAACAGTTCTTTGGTCACATAACGAGAAAAGGAGCACTGGAAAATATTGTGATCACTGGTAGAAGAGGCAGAGGCAGAGCAAGAGAAATGATGGTGGATAGCTTAAGACAGTGGCATGGAGAAATATCATCAGTAGAATTGATCCAGAACATCAGAGACCGAGATCTGTGGCGATGCATAAACACATACACCAGCTGGCAAGGCACTTGATGATGACAATGAGTGTATAGGTATGTGTCTTTTTCTTCTTCTTTGCGTTTACTGGCTAAAAACTCCAGCGGAAAGCTCTGGGTGTTCGCCCACCTACGGACTTTAGTCTTGTTCCAGAACCTTAGTTCTGCGTGCACATCCATTTCACAGATCTAGCTTATTTGTATGCAGACTTGTGGTTCCTTGCCTCTCAAATAGATGTAACCCGACTTTGAACATCTTCCCAATTAGTCAACTCCTATGACTTGCTTGTTGGGAAGGCAGAGTCTACTCTTGTTTTCTCCACTATGGGGCTCCGGAACCCACACAAGGATGTGTGTGTCTCTGTATGGGTGTGTGTACAGGTGTGTGTGTGTATGTGTGTGTGTGGTGTCTGCGCGCGTCTCTATATGTGTGCATGTGGGGGTGCAGTTGTGTGTTGTGTGGGGTGAATGTGGGGGGGAGGTTGTGTTGTTTAAACAAGATCTGTCACGAAGTAGTACACCTTAAACAAACGATGTAACCCTATATGGAACCTATTCTAATGTCTGCATGTTAACACGTGCAAAAATACCAAGAATTAATTGATGGCTGCAGAAAATTGCTTTCTAAGGGTTCAGAATTGGACACGCAGACCCGTCTACCATTCTGCCCTTCTAGTCTCCTTCCTTTTATACAGCAGTTCATTCATACATCAAGTAGTAATAAACATTATCAACAGCATCATATTTAATAAAAGCAGTGGAATGTACACATTTCGAACTATAGTAAACCGTAGTAGCTGTAATAAATCTAGAGAAAATGTGCGCTATTTCTAAAATATTTTTTATCCTCTATGGGGGCATGTAATCTGTGCTTAGATAATAGATGTAGGCAGTCAGATATGAAGATAATTTAAATATAGGAAACTTAGGGAAAAGCAAAGAGAAAACCCAAAACAAAAACACAATTTTTTTTTTCTGGAACACTGTGAAAAGAAAACTTCTGCTTTAGGTTTCTACAAAAACAAAATAAGAAAACACTGCAAATCCTGCGTACTTACGCTAGGTCACACCGCCCACGGAAATCTTTTACATCATTTTCCAATGACTGTATCTTAACCTGTTTCAGAAAAAGAAAGGGAAAAAACAACTTACATTTCATTGGATTTATTTAAAAAACAATCAGCCTAGACAAGAATTTCAAGCTGTATGATAGTCATGGCCAATAAAGACACCGGGTACCTAGTTGACCATGTTCTTAGTGCACTTGTTTCCATAGCGAGGTGCACACACCATTTTGAGGTGACAGGTTCGATTCCCGGCACGGTAACTATAGCTCTAAATTTTTATGTTGTCCAATGTGTTCTTCTATCTGTCTGCTTCTTTCTATGAGTGCAGATTGATACATTGTCTATTTGTTCATTACATTTAGTAGACAAGAATAAGAACTAATTCTGATGTGCCCACTTACAAACAACAACACACACAAAAACAAAAAAACTGTGAAAAAAAAAATAATCATGAACAACCAAATGAATGTTGTGGCTAAAATACATTTCTTATCATACAACATGCACAGACAATCATACAACTACACAGAAAAACACACACAAAAATAACTGAGCTTTTCAGTGAAACCTCTAAAAGTGTCCATCCATGTTTGAAAAACAACAGCTGCTATGAAATTAGTCCTCACTAATTGTAGCAGGCAAACAAAAAATGAAGAGGAGACCCAGAGAGAGATAGGACAGGCTTGGCAGAAGGTGAAAGGTTAAGAAGTAATTGTGCAACCCTCCCACTTTCCCACCTTAAAAAAATGTGATAAAAGAGAGGTGGACCCCCCGCCCCCCCCCCCCAACCCCACCCCCCAAAAAAAGCAGCATATTTAACAAGATCTGCGTTATCATATTAGTTAGATTTTTCAAGGTAGATGTACAAACTGTGCATCAGAGGTTCTCAACCTTCATAATACCATGACCCTTTAATACAGTTCCTCATGTTGTAGCAACCCAGCAATTAGAACTTCAATGAATATTTATACTGTGATGGTCTTTGGCGACCTATGTGAAAGGGTCGTTTGACCAAAAAAAGGTCATGACCCACAGGTTTAAAACCACTACTGTTCATGAAAACAAAAATGTCCTTTGCACTGTGTTTTATACATAATTTTTTTATATATTTCATCTCTAAATAAAATGGAAACAACATGTTACTATAACAGACTTTTACAAGTACAAATTTGCTTGACACGGCCCTTGAAACTTCCTTCCTGGATTATGAAACTATTCCTTCTGCCTTCACCTCTCTAGCCATCACAGCTTGATCTCAAAAGTAAGATTTTTGCATGTTTCTTTGTGTAAATGACAAATTTATTTATTTAAACTTTGTTTCAGTATTTAGTTTTACATTTATTATTGTAATTAATGCAGTTAGTATAATAAACAGGTAAAAAGAAACCATCAGGGTGATTTTTGAAAAGATGCAACAAATTAACATTATTTACATTTATTTTTATGGCCTAATTTGTTTTTAGGATATGCGCTGAGTTATTCACTAAACGAACTCAGTCAAGGAAGGAATTAAATTCATACCTTGATGTTCTACTGTATTTGTTTGTGTTTACTAAACAGAATGTTAATACTCATATTTCGAATGTAAAAACTGTATATTGCCGTCACAATATAACCATGTTGTAGCCAAGTGTCATGGTTTTTTGTGTGTGTCTGCGCTTCTCGGGTGGCTGAATGATGGGCCTGTTCATATTTTTGCAGGACTCAGCTACACCATCTATCCATCTCACCCCTGGTCTTCCTCTCCCCATATGTTCAGCAGTAGAAGGCCTCATATGCTGTGTGGTCCGGCTGCATTCGTAACCAGATGGCCACATCCTCCACTTGTTGTTTTTCTAGGCAAATTTACGTACAGTAGTTGGCCACTACTTTCTGGTCGGCTTCTCGATACCACTGTCGAAACCAACGCAAGGTGCAAGGCCCTCAGCTGGGTTCAAACCCGGTACCTCGGCATTAGGAAGCGCGTTCACAATGCCTAAAAACCATCCATAAATCAAAGTCTCATTAAGCAATAAAAGAGGGATAAGATCACAAACCAAACCTCTAGCATAGCCTTTTCCTCCTGTAGCTTTTCTATCTGCTCCTTGGCTCGATGCTGGGCTGAACTCAGAACCTCTTCATGCTTATCTCTGATGGCTTCAGACTCTTTTAGCTGTTCCTAGAAAAACATTTGTAATAATTAAGCTACTTTTATATTTGAAAACAAATAGAGGCAATAAAAAATTACATCTGAAGAACTGTTTAAAAAAGTCCATTAAAATACACCAGCCAGTGTGTTTTTTTTTTTTCATTTGTGAAAAAGAAAAAAAAATATAAAAAGAATAAGCTTAAATTTAGTGCATACATATGCATACTTTCATAGATTCATGACAATTTCCCATTCAGGTTATATCTATATGATTATCTATACAGATGGTTCTGTTTTGAGAGGCAGATGAAGTTCATGTGGGGGGGGGGGGGGGGGGGGGGGGGGGGGGATGTCATTTAGTGCAACAAAGCCGGGCATATGATACCACAACATCCAGTTCGAGAACAAAGGCGGAGGTAGTCACTGCAGCCTTCATCTGGCTTGAGAACCAGCTGTACACAGGTCTAAGATGGTGGCATGGAGGAAGATCATCATGATCGCACTATTATCTGCCCTGCTGATAAGCAAAGTCCGTGTCATAGGTCATGTCAAAGGTCATGTCATGTTTCGCCATCTCACATCATCATCATCACTAGAATCACGAATCAGGTCAGTGTTCTCAACCTGCCCCATCCATACAGCTAAGCCATGTAGGTATTTAGTAGCCGTGGCGTTGGCTGTTACACACCCGCCTGCGGAGCGGAAGGTCGTAGGTTCACGTCCTGACAAAGCCATACTTTTTTTCAGAAATGACCTCGACTCCCAGGTCAACCCAGCCTTAAGTGGGTACCAGAGGCAGTCCTGGGAAGTAAAGGCGGCCGGTGTGGTGCTGACCACATCACCTATCAAGTGTCGATTAGTGTATAAAAAAAGGTCTAGCCCTCTATTCCCAATACGCCTAAAGGCGTGGAAAAGGAAACTTTAATTTTTTTTTAATGTAGGTATTTATTTCTATGCCTTTTCGTTCCTCTTTTTTCTCTTTGTTCTCTTTGCCTTGACAGTTATAACCAAGTCTTTGGCAGAGATATGTGAAGACATCAAAATGCCTTTGTCACCTGTCAACAGCCTGTGACAGACAGCCAGCCTGCATTGGATCGCAGATTATTCCTCCCCATGATGCCTAATGGTGGAAGTGATTTATGATGATGACGATGATGATGATGATGATGACCTGGCAAAGGCACAGGATGATGATGATTATAATGGAGTAGAAATGTAAAATTATAAAAACGAAACTTAAGTTGCAAAACTGTAAGTGAATTATTATCTTCATAAGTCATTTTAGATTATTTCAAGGAATGTGTTCAAAACATGGCCACGGACTTTACAGCAGACAAAAAGAAGCAACTGACTCAAACAGAAAGTCCTACCTGAAGCTGGCGGACGTGCACCTCAAACTCAGCAGACAACTCCTGCAGCTGTTTGTGCAGCAGTGCATTCTCTTCAATTTTGTTTTGTAGTTCCTCATTGAAGACATTGCCTCCTCCGTTGTATGTTCCCCCTCTCTCTGGAGTACTGGGTTCTGAGCTTCTGTGCTGTGAACAAATAAACAATGCTGGTGTGAACAAACAAACAATGCCAGTGTGAACAAACAAACAACGCTGGTGTGAACAAACAAACAATGCTGGTGTGAACAAACAATGCTAGTGTGAACAAACAAACAATGCTGGTGTGAACAAACAAACAACGCTGGTGTGAACAAACAAACAAACAACGCTGGTGTGAACAAACAAACAACGCTGGTGTGAACAAACAAACAACGCTGGTGTGAACAAACAAACAATGCTAGTGTGAACAAACAAACAATGCTGGTGTGGACAAACAAACAATGCTAGTGTGAACAAACAAACAATGCTGGTGTGAACAAACAAACAACGCTGGTGTGAACAAACAAACAATGCTAGTGTGAACAAACAAACAATGCTGGTGTGAACAAACAAACAATGCTAGTGTGAACAAACAAACATGGCTGGTGTGAACAAACAAACAACGCTGGTGTGAAAAAAACAAACTATGCTGGTGTGAACAAACAAACAACGCTAGTATGAACAAACAAACAACGCTGGTGTGAACAAACAAACAACGCTGGTGTGAACACATAAAAAAAAACACAATGTTGTTGTGAACAGACACATTATGCTGCTGCAAACAGCCAAAAAATGCTGCTGCGAACAGACAAAAAATGTTGTGAACAGACACATTATGCTGCTGCAAAGAGACAAAAATTGCTGCTGCGAACAGACAAAAAATGTTGTGAACAGACACATTATGCTGCTGCAAACAGACAAAAAATGCTGCTGCGAACAGACAACAAATGTTGTAAACAGACAAATTATGCTGCTGCAAACAGACAAAAAATGCTGCTGCGAACATACAAAAAAATGTTGTTGTGAACAGACACATTATGCTGCTGCAAACAGACAAAAAATGCTGCTGCGAACAGACGAAAAATGTTGTTGTGAACAGACACATTATGCTGCTGCAAACAGACAAAAAATTTTGTGAACAGACACATTATGCTGCTGCGAACAGACAAAAAATGTTGTGAACAAACACATTATGCTGCTGCAAACAGACAAAAAATGCTGCTGTGAACAGACAAAAAATGTTGTAAACAGACACATTATGATGCTGCAAACAGACAAAAAATGCTGCTGTGAAATGACACATAATGCTGCTGTAAACAGCAGACAATGTCAATGCAGTTAGAGAGATAGGATGTTCTGAGAATTTTGGAAGCAACGTGTCCACATCACTGCTAAGAATACAAGAATAGGGAGTAAAGATCAGCACAGCCAAACATGAGAAGCACCCCGGACGCACACAAAGTCCTGTCAACCAGCACAGGACTTGCACTATTACCCATGCAACGCTCATGAATATGTTGAAGAGGGAACTGAAGCACTTATGGATGTGTCTTGAGTATTGTGAAGATAATCCAACAATAACTTCACAATGAGGTTACAATTTATAGCTTGTCTGAATAAAAATAATGTTAGAAAATATACATTCGACTACAAGAAGAAAGAAGATGATACTCTTAAAAGCAATTTAAACTGATTCATGACAACTCCTGCCCAGGTGATGTGATTATCTATACAGATAGCTCTGTGTTGAGAGGCAGACAAAGTGCATGGGGGGTTCACAGCAAAAGTGAATGGATGTCGCTTAGTGCAACAAAGCCTGGCATATGATATCACAACGTTTAGTTTGAGAATGAAAGTGGAGGCAGTCACTGCTGCCTTCCACTGGATTTAGAATCAGCTGTACACAAGTTGTAATTGTAAATGACTCATAGAAAATGTTCACAAAGGTGGAGACAGGCATGCTGGTGAAGAGTGGCAAGCATCTCTTTAGAGGTTCCGGGTAGTTGGCGTTGTTTGGATATTTTCTCCAGGTCATGCAGGTGTTTTAGGAAATGAGCAGGCAGACAACTGGCTGGTTCTGCACCAAGTGTATGACAAACTAGATGTTGTGAGGGCCCTTTGGGAGTGAGTGAACAGTGCAGAGGCACAAAGAGATCATTACGGTCTGAGGAGAATGGCACTGAGGGGAGTTACTAGAGGATCTGGCCGTCACTCAACACTCAAGGGAAAGACGGATGTACAGTCAGACAGTTACTGGTACCATCAGAATGGGAACTCTTCATTTGGTGTTGTAGATGGGAACGGAGCACTTATGGGGGTGTCCCAAGTGCCAACATTCAACATTCTACACAGGACAGCAGGTTACATCTGGCTGTGTAGCCATCACATACACACTAATTATAACTGCTGAAGGTTAAACAGGGTATCTTTGATCTGCCGTATTGACCTACCATCTTGACTGAGATTGTTTAATCTCAGGATTGTATGTTTAATCTCAGGATTGTACGGTAAACCTTTAGATAGCAGCCTGGTGAAGAACAAACTGATCGATCACTCACCCATCTCCATTCATGATCGTGATTGTCCTTGACTTTCCAACTGATAACTGTAAAGATTTGTATACAATATCTTTTCAAAGTATGATCTTAAAACAAATAAAGCAACTAAATCAAGATGGTTTAAATTCTGGACCTACCTTGTTTTTCTTCTTGCTATTGGCTTCTGATGTCTCTAATTCCTCTTGCAATAAAATTACTCTCTTAGACAGCTGCTGGTTGCGAAAGGTCAAACTGTCTACTTCCTGTTCATATTTTCTAACCGTCTGGTCTCGCTCTTTTAAAACGTCTTTCAGCTGGTTAACCTCCCCTTGTTCATCTAAGTATGCCTTCTTCAGAACTGGGATTTGAGCTTTCAACTGAGAACAGGAGGAAAAACAGATAGGTAAAATATCTTAACCTGATCTGTTAACAACTTAATAGAGAGCCACTAATTAATATTGACTACCCCTCCCCAACCACTTGTAATCCATCCATTCACACATGCAGATACACACATGCACATAAATGTACACACACAATTACAAAGACTTCCCAAAAAAATTTAAAAAATGACGCACACACAAAAAAACTATAAAAAAAATAATAATTAAAAACTCATTTCTCTCTCTCTCTCTCTCTCTGTCTGTCTCTCTCTCTCTCTTTCTCTGTCTGTCTCTCTCTCTCTCTTATGCACATACACACACACAAACACACACAATTACAAAGACAAAGGGTGACCCAGGGTCCACTGGGAAGACAACATCCGACAGTCCCTAACCGACAGAGGACTGGAATGGAACAAAGTCAGAAAGACAAAATGCTGATAAAGAAGTCTGGGGATCTCTCTGGAAAACCTCTACACTCCAAGAGATTTTCTCCCATTCTGAGTACATGTCCATACATGTGAAAAAGACACTATGTGGTCACACAAGTTTTACCAAATTTACACTACAAATTTATTAACTGGGCAGGTAATTTTACTCTTGCATTTAACTCTTACTTTTTCCTGGGTCTATGTTATTGTTACCAACACACTGGGCATCAAAACCAGGAGATTAACTCTCAACAAGCCAATAACTCTGTCACTATAAGGACAGTAACTGAGCTGTAACATATAAGCTTTAAAATGTTTACAGATGTTACAGATTGAAGTCCTGGAGAAAGTACTTTCAATAATATTAAAATTATGCCAATTCAAATTGGGCAATCTAAAATTGAACTATTTAATAGAGCTGCTTACATTTTTATCCCTTACTAAGAAAATAGTACAATTAGTGTACACCAGTTAATGCACTTCAAAACGTAACTGTTTTTTTTTTCTTCCCAGAATGAAATAAACATAAAAAAGGAAACAAGCACATAAACACAATACAGGACAAAGGGGTGTGTCTGTCCATCTGCAGCAGAATATGTCGACTTATGAAGGAAAAAATGATGTTCAATCCGTATAAAGAAGTCCCGATAAAATATGGGCTAAATATGCTAAGAAACAAAGATGACACTATCAATATGTAATGCTACACAACATATAAGGCCTGCTAATGGCAGTTAAAGTGGTAACCTTTGCGTATTCGCCAGCAAGCTTTTGATATTTAGCAGGTAGATCGGCCATGTCAGTCGCCTCACCGGAACATACTTGCTGTATGACAGGGAGTAATCGTTGTTCTGTATTCACAACACAACATGAGATCGAGGCAGATTGGTTGCATAACATACATTGGCTCCAAGGTCGATCCAGCGTAAAATGGGTACCGGGTAATGTCCTGGGAAGTAAAAGAAACCGGCGTGATGTTGACCATATAAAATGAGTTAAGAGAATCGACGCCCAAAAGAAGCCCCAAGACGAACGTAGATGAGAGAGGCCAAAGCTGTTGGACTGGATTTCATCCATGATATTGAACTGATTGCACAGGCAAGAGTGGAATAAAGTAGGAGGCTGCAAACCCTGTGTGACTTATAATGGCACAACAGGATAATGAGTAACACGAGATTAGTGGCAACCAAGACGATGTAGTGGCTTGACGCTCTCCTATCCACCTAAAGGTTAAAAGTTCGAATCCTCAGCGAGGTGGATTTTTTCCTAACTTTCGCGTCGCAGGTCGACCCAGTATGAGTATCAAATGGGTCCCAGGTAATGTCTTGGGAAGTGAAGGAGTTCGGCGTGATGTTGACCACATTAAATAAGTTTAGAATCACAAGCCCTATGTGCCACTGAACATAGTCGCCAGATCATGGGGGTGGGGGGAGGGGGTCCTTAGGTCCCGTGAGATCCCTCCTCACGAGCATGTGGTAAATGATCACGAATTAGGGGTTGTTTGAATCAGACATGTTATGCGAAAGTGTCGACGGTCCTTCCAAGGCAGGCGAAGATGTTCTGGATCACCTTTACTGGCGAAATTCCTGCATCCCACATCTCTAAACAACAGTTTCCCTTCTCACGATATTTCCTAACACAGTTTCTAACTGCTACTGACACCAGTGGTATTGACACTCTGCTGAAGATGGGGGCGGAGCGTTTTTGGGATTATCCCCGGGTTCTGTGATGTCGGTTCTTGAATCAACTCAGCAAGTTTCTAATATCATCAAAGGCGCTACATCTCAGAAGATCAGATACAAGAGCAAGTGCGCGGCCACGAAAAATATGAATAACATTAGGACACTTTCTATCTTCACGGCATGACAATAACCAACGCCAGCCAGCGTGCACTGGATCGCAAATTATTCCTCCCCCACGTTTCTATACGACAGAGGGAGGGGGGGGGGTTGATTATGATATAACAAGTTTCCTTAACAATTTTGCGTGAAATGGTGAAAAGCACAACGTAAATATCCAAATTATCGGTTGTGAAATTAAAAAAATGGGATTGGGGGGGGGGGGGAATGGGGGGGGGGGGGGGGGGGGGGGGGGGGTCCTTGGTTGTATCCACGGCCGACTCTATTTACCTAGAGAAGGCGGTGGTTGTATCATAATCATCATAAACCACTTCTGCCGTTAAGCTTCGTGCTGAGGAATAATTTGCGATCCAGTGCACGCCTTGGTTGTATAATCTTCTTATAGTCGATACCATATAGCGTTCGTAATCGTGACTACCTACTAACCGATGTGGGTTCTAGTAGTCCATTTTGGGAGAAAAAGTAGACCAACTGCCACCTAAGTGGATTTTTATCATGGTATGGGGTGTCGCAAGTCGACCCAGCCTAACAATGGGTACCAGGATTTATGTACTTCTGGAGAAGTAAAGACGGCCGGCATAATGCTGACCACATTACCCACCATTTGCCAATTTGTCTGTTAAAAAATATGGGTGTTTTTCTTGTAAACCCGATAGGCCTAAAGGCGTGAAAAGAGATCTTTACTTTTTTTTATCTGCCACCCAACAACAACGGCGCAAAATGCGATTATGTAGGTGTGTTTCCTTCGAAGTTGGCGTGCATTTGGCTGAGAGGCGGGGAGCTAACAGTCTGCATACAAATAAGCCACAGCTGTGAAATGAGTTTTGCAAAACTCAAGTTCTGAAACAAGACCAAAGTCTAGAAGTAGATGAACAACCAGAACTTTACGCCGGAGTTTACAGCAGGTGAACGTGAAGGCAAAGATGTCTACCTAGAGTCTTCTCTTTGGTGTACCGTCAACCACTTCTGTCACTGTTGATCTAAGCCAGCGGTTCTCAACCTGCCGGTCGCGACCCTTTTTTCTTATCCTCAGGTGACGGCCCCTGGCATTTCCCGGGATATTTTTTGTCCTGTTCCCGCGTGTTCCACCAGACTATTGACCTGGCTGCCTTTAGTTACAAAGATAAGTGATATATTGTTTATTTATGTAGTATTGTCTAATTTATGTGTGTGCTGAAGAAGGCGCCTCAGCCGCAATGTCCACGTTTTGTTTGTGTTATATTGTGAAGCTCACTGATATACTTTTCATTCGGTTTTATATTTTTACCTTTTTTGGATTGAACTACCTTTTCACATGGGTCACATAAGACCATCGGAAAACACATATTCATTGAAGTTATGAAGGAAAATAACTGTGGTCGCTACAATATGAGGAAACTGTATTATAAGGTGGCGGCATAGGGACGGTTGAGAGCTACTGATTTAAACCATGGTGGTAAATGATCCAGTATCTCTTTTGGTTTCTATCCCAATATCTTTTTGTTTGGGGGGTAGTGGATAGGCTGCATTCAGTCCTAGAACCTAGGCTGCAGTCTCTCGTGGGACGTAAGTGGGTTGGGGTTAGGCAAAGTTATATATGTTTTGGGGTAGTTAAAAGCATCAGAAAGCCGGGACACCCACTCTTACCACCCTAAAAAATACTGGACTGTCTTGTGAAGTCATCCTGGGGGGTGGGGGGAATATTGGAACACCCTCTTTTGCTTTGATCTGCCTCTCTTTAACGCTTACTTTTCTGGGTAATAGTAACATTAGTCTCCCCACGGACTGCCCACATACACACTAGCTCACTTCCGATTGGTCGACCTTCAGCCTAGCTCACTTCTGATTGGTCAACCTTGAGATAACTGCCCTTGGCACAAGGTGACGGGGGTGTTCCCCCCCAATTCCGTTAATATTGTGTCTTCTATTTCAACATTCCAGCGCCTTAAACGCTACAAAAATATCGACAAACTGGGTCTAACACAAAACCCCTTTACAGAGTGATGAAACTATTGTCACAGGCATTCTCTCAGAATAAAAAATAAGTAAATGCAAGACATTCCAGAAAGCAAACAACAGAGCGGCAGTCCTGCTCCAGAACCTGAGTGTTAGGTGTGCATTTGTTTGAGAGATATAATTTGTATGCAGACTGTTGGTTCCTTGCCTCTCAGGCAGATGCACTCCGACTTCAAAGGAAGCTCCCAATTAGTCAACTCTTACGACATGCTTTTGGGTAGGCAGTAGGTCTATTGTTATATTCCCTATAATAGGGCCCCAGAACCCACATGGGGAACTCTAATATCAACTTAGCTTTAAAAAAAAAAAGCTATTTAGCTCTAAGGAAACCTGAATGCTATTGTTAGCTAACCTATTCATCTCCGGACCTGCTAAATATTTGAGCAGGCGCAAAAACAGCCAGCAGCATTAACTATGCATCCCGTAAACAAGCACACTACAGGCAAGTCAGAAGAGTGACATCTTCGGGAAAATGCACTCAGAAGTGTCAGTTTTGCAGCTTCTCTGGGTGGTCGAGTTAACATATGATCACATAGTATTATCAAGGTGAGAAAAATATTTGAAAAAGCAATATAACACGTATTTATAACATATTTTATTACAAACAAATCATTCAATGGTAAATTATGTACATTAAGTGTATATGGTTATAAACTTGTCATACAAAAAGTATATTTAACCAAGTGTGACCGTCAAACCAGAAATGGCCCATATTTTATCAAACACAACCCTGCGCGTTCTGCACTTTATTGGTTGTGTTGTCATATTATGACCATTATAAGGTGAGACTGTCAGAGTTGATAGTCTTAACATAACAACATCTAGGAGTTATACAATCAGTGTACAGCTGAAGTCAGATCACTAATCACAGATTAAAAAAATTAAAAAGAGACAAAAACTATGAAGTTATTAAAAACAGTGTCCAACTGAGGTCAGATCAATTTTCATGAAAAAAAAAGATATGAGGTTACGCAAACAGTCTATTCAAGTTCAGACTGATATTCATGAGCTAAAAAATTATTGTGTGGGTTCTAGGGCCATTTTAAAAGGAAAAAAAACAGACAGGCTGCTCATTAACAAGCGTGTTGTAATAGGTGATATGTGTACTGTTTGGCCCAACACATTCAACTTCAGTAAACCTCTGATTAGTCTTATTTTATGACATCCTTGTCAATGGACAGTGGGGAGGTTTGGCCCAACACATTTTACTTCAGTAAACCTCTAATTAGTCTCATTTTATGACATCCTTGTCAATGGACAGTGGGGAGGTTTGGCCCAACACATTTTACTTCAGTAAACATCTAATTAGTCTCATTTTATGACATCCTTGTAAATAGACAGTGGGGATGTTTGGCTCAACACTTTCAACTTCAGTAAACGTCTAATTAGTCTCATTTTATGACAACCTTGTCAATGGACAGTGGGGATATTCCTCCCACCACTCCCCTCCAAAATAGGATTCTGAAAAAAGAAAAAAAAAACACCACATAGGAGGAGAAAGAAGGATCTGAGATGTGTTACTGTATGTTGCAAGGTAGGAGCTGGACAGAAAAACAGAGACACTTCAGAAATTTGTTAAGAAGTCGAAAGGAAATGCCAGGCTAAAGGGAGTAATGGCACATGTAAAGAATAAACCCTTCCTTTTTTTTCTTCTTGGAATTCACCAATTGTGAACTCTGATGGAAAGTTCTGGTTGTTCATCCACCCCTGAACACTGTTCTTGTTCTGGAACTTGAGTTCTGTGTGCACACCTGTTTTTACTGATCTGGCTTATTTGTATGCAGACTGCTGGTTCCACACTTCTCAAGCAGATGGATTTTAACTTGAAGAACCCCCAATAAGTCAACTTTTACAACAAGTTTCCTGGGAAGAAAAGTGGGGGGGGGGGGGGGGGCGTTGGGGAGGGGGGGCTGTCAGTGGGTATGGGGAAGATCCCTCCCACTC